ATCCCAGAAATATTTGGATATGAATAAAAGCCAATGTATGAGCAGTCACAGGTTTTTTAACCATTTATTTAATTCTCTTCTCTTTTTTTGGACACATCCATTCACTTGATGAGAAATGTCAATCCAAAGGTAGCTGTCTGCATAAATTAGAACATTTTTGTTGCAAATGGTAAACACCAGCATGTGCTAAATGAAGCCACAAAAAAAGACACAGATATGTTTTTTTGGAAATAAAGGGAAGGCAGGTATTGCAACAGGAAATCAGGAGCCTTCCAGAATTTGGAAATCTCTTTCTCTATCCTTTCCCCTTCTCATTTTGTGACTCATCTCCACCCCTCTCTTGTCTTTGTATCTTCCTGGGCATTTGCGTCCTTGTCTCCCTGCAGACCAGCTTTCCCTCCTATCCAGTTCATATGGAGCCATGTGGCTCATCGTGTGCTTTTACATACCTCCAGCTCAAGAAACTAACCCCAGCTGAGACTGAAACCTCTTATTTTTAATTCTAAATTCCAAAGAAAGGAACTCTAAGTAGTTCAGCTTGAACCATCTGCCAAGGCCTCAGGTACCCATTTGATTACTGGGGACGAATTCAGGAGGTCAGAGCTTAATCAGAACAGAGAAGTCATTCTAGGTATTTAGAGTTGCAAGTATAGACTCTTCTGCCATCAGAAGATGAAGAAGTGAATGTCAGAAAGGGTCTCTTTCATAACAGATGTAATAAAAGCAACTGAAGGTAGACATTCTATCTTCAATACCTTCCCTTTCTTCCACAGCAGCTAAGTAGTGCCGATGGACTAATACACTGTCAATGATTCTGAACCTTGAGTAATTATGTTATAGTCTTTATTGTTACATATAAGTGATGCTGCCATGATTGCTGAAGTAGTCAGATCTGAAACTTTAGAAGGCACAGGTAAGCAGTTACCATTTAAAGAATCACTGTTTACTAGTATGTCATTGATTTTGGTTCTAAATTCAGTTTCAAAAAATATTATACACAAAAAGATATGTGTGGAAAGAAAGAATGAAATAAAAAGTGAATAAAAACACCATGGAAAAGTTAACTTGGTAAATATGAAGCACGGGTTAGACTTTTGTGATTTGAGGTTAACCAGTAAGCCTGTAATTACATGCTACCAACAATGAAGGTGGATTCCCTATATCCAGTGAAGTTCCTCAGGTAAAAATTAGATATATATATGTGTCTTTATTATGCTACAGTGAATTACTTATAGAGAATTTTTAAACATTGTTTAATATATATATTCAAATTCATATACTGAATTTATATTTATTTTAACAAAGATAGCTATTGTAATACTTTAAAAATACACACATACCCACAACCACACCGCCCCACACACCCACACACCCATCCCCCAACACACCCACACACCCATCCCCCCCATACCCCACACTCACTCATCTCTTCCCCCCCACACACACATATACTGACCCCCACACCCACACCCACACAGATCCATTATTGATGTGCCTGGGACCAGCATATTCTCGATTTTTTATTTTTTCAGAATTTTGGACTATTTGCATTGTATATTTACTAATTAAGTAGCCCGAATCCAAAACCTGAAATCTGAAATATTCCCATGAACATTTTCACCAAGTATCCTGTTAGTGTTCAAACAGTTTCAGATTTTAAACATTTCAGATTTTGTATTTTGGGATTTAGAATACTAAACCTCTCTCTCTCTTTCTGTGTGTATACATGTGTAGTTTCACTCGATTCTTACTGTTTTACCTTTATTTTTCAGGCGAGTAAGCAAAAATGTATAATGTATATACTAACTGAGTCATTCCAGCTGTTGACCGAGGGTTTTTTTTTTTATTGAATTTTAGGTTTGGGGGTACATGTGAAGAACATGTAAGATTGCTGCATAGGTACACACGTGGCAGTGTGATTTGCTGCCTTTCTCCACATCACCTATATCTGGCATTTCTCCCCATGGTGTCTCTCCCCATCTCCACACCCCCTGCTGTCCCTCCCCTATTCCCCCAACAGACCCCAGTGGGTAGTGCTCCCCTCCCTGTGTCCATGTGTTCTCATTGTTCAACACCCTCCTATGAGTGAGAACATGCGGTGTTTGATTTTCTGCTCCTGTGTCAGTTTGCTGAGAATGATGGTTTCCAGGTTCATCCATGTCCCTACAAAGGACACTAACTCATCGTTTTTGATGGCTGCATAATAATCCATGGTGCATATGTGCCACATTTTCCCTGTCCATTCTATCATCGATAGGCATTTGGGTTGGTTCCAGGTCTTTGCTGTTGTAAACTGTGCTGCAATGAACATTCGTGTGCATGTGTCCTTATAGTAGAATGATTTATAATCCTTTGGATATATACCCAGTAATGGGATTGCTGGGTCAAATGGAATTTCTATTTCTAAGGCCTTGAGGAATCGCCACACTGTCTTCCACAGCGGTTGAACTAATTTACGCTCCCACCAATAGTGTAAAAGTGTTCCTATTTCTCCACATCCTCTCCAGCATCTGTTGTCTCCAGATTTTTTAATAATCACCATTCTAACTGGCATGAGATGGTATCTCAATGTAGTTTTGATTTGCATTTCTCTAATGACCAGTGATGATGAGCATTTTTTCATATGTTTGTTGGCCTCATGTGTGTCTTCTTTTGTAAAGTGTCTGTTCATATTTAATTCAGATTTTCTAATACACATGACAAATTTTAGCTTAAACCTTATTTTTCTTCTTTCAGCACAGGTAGAACACCTAGTTAACACACACACAGATAACTATTTTTCTTCATATCAAAGGAATAAATTCTCAAATAATTACCAAATAAGATATCAGTCTTCAATCAAATACAGTGAAGTTGCATTATAGTTGCATTTTACCTGTAATAATTAAATTATGGAATCACACTCCTCCCCACACACATACATGCACAGAAGGGACAGAAAATACATTTTAAATGGTGCAGTTTACTTTATTCAACATTCCACACAATAAACAAATAAATGAAGAAAATGTTCCAGAATTACCATGAAACTAGCATGTAAAGTTACTTTTCCATTACTTGGCTTTAGATCCTACATATGTCCCACAGTGTCAACTGATCAGCGTATTGAGTGGGCTTCCAGTACAGTCATACATCACATAACTACATTTTGTTTACAACAGTGGTCACATGAGATTACAATGGAGCTGAAAAATTTCCACTGCCTGGTGATTTCAGAGCTGTTCTAAGATCACAGCAGAACATATTACTCACATGCTTATGATGATACTGGTATAAATAAACCTACTAGGCTGCCAGTCTTTTTTTTTTTTTTTTAATGGAGTCTCTCTCTGTCACCCACTTCAGTGCAATAGCTGGATCTTGGCTCACTGCAACCTGTGCCTCCTGGGTTCAACAATTTTCCTGCCTCAGTCTGCAGAGTAGCTGGGATTATAGGCACCTGCCATCATGCCTGGATAAGTTTTGTATTTTTGTAGAGATGGGGTTTTTTAACACGTTGGCCAGGCTGGTCTTGAACTCCTGACTTCGGGTAATCTGCCTGCTTCAGCCTCCCAGAGAGCTGGGATTACAGGCGTGAGCCACCATGCCTGACCAATGCTGCCGGTCTTTTAAAAGGATAGTGCATATAATTATAGGTAGTATGTAACACTTGATATTAAGCAACTATCCAACATTATTGGTTTACATATTTACTATATTATACTTTTTTAGAATGTACTCCTTTACTTTTATAAATAATAAGTTAACTGTAAAACAGCCTCAAGCAGATCCTTCAGGAAGTATTGCAGAAGTGAGCATTGTTATCTGAGGAGATGACAGCTGCATGAGTGTCACTGCCCATGAAGACCTGTCAGTGGGACAAGATATGGAGGTGGAAGACAGTGATATTTATGATCCTGATGCTGTGTGAGCCTGAGTTAATGTGTGTATTTGTATCCTAGATTTTAACAAAATCTTTACAAAATAAAAAATAAATTTAAGAATTTAAATATGGAAAAAGCATATAGAATAAGGATATAAAGAAGGAAAATATTTTTGTGCAGTGTACAATGTGTTTGTTTTAAGCTTAGTGTTATTTTTTGTTCGTTTCTGTTCCCAGTGCTGGCTTTTGTTTTCTTTTTCTTTTCTTTTCTTTTTTATGGCTTTCATTTACTTTTTCTTTTGTTTTCTTTTTTATTTCCAACTTTTATTTTAAGTTCTGGGGTACATGAGCAGGACGTGCAGGTTTGTTACACAAGTAAGTGTGTACCATGGTGGTTTGCTCTACCCCATCACCCCTGTATTAAGCCCAGCATCCACTAGCTATTCCTTCTAATCCTCTCTCTCCTCCCACTCTCCGCTCTGTGAAAGATCCCACTGTGTGTTGTTCCCCTACCATATGTCCGTATGTTCTCATTATTTAGCTCCCAATCATAAGTGGGAACACGCGATATTTCATTTTCTGTTCCTGTGTTAGTTTGATAAGGAAAATGGCCTCCAGCTGCATCCATATCCTTGCAAAGAACATGATCTTATTTCTTTCTGTGGCTGCATAGTATTCTATGGTGTATATGTTATATGTACCACATTTTCTTTATCCAGTCAATCATTGGTGGGAATTTAGGTTGATTCTATGTTTTCGCTACTGTGAATAGTGCTGCAATGAATATACACATGCCTATGTCTTTATAATAGAAGGATTTTCTTTGGGTATATACCCAGTAATGGGATTGCTGGGTCAAAAGGTATTTCTGCTTCTAGGTCTTTGAGGAACTGCCACACTGTTTTTCACAATGGTTGAACTAATTTAGGCTCTACCAACTGTGTAAGACTATTCTTTTTTCTTCACAACCTCACCAGCAACTGCTGTTTTTTGATTTTTTAATAATAGCCATTCTGACTAGAGCCAGATGATGTCTCATTGTGGTTTTGATTTGCATTTCTCAAATGATAAGTGATGTTGGACATTTTTTCAGTGTTTATTGGCCATATATAAGTCTTCTTTTAAGAAGTGTCTGTTCATACTTACCTGGCAGGGGAGATACCATGATCACGAAGGTGGTTTTCCCAGGGCGAGGCTTAACCATTGCATTCCGGATGCTGACCCCTGCGATTTTCCCAAATGTGGAAAAACTGACTGCATAATTTGTGGTAGTGGGCGACTGCATTCATGCTTTCCCCTGGTGTTTCATTAAAAAAAAAAAAAGTGTCTGTTCATGTCCTTTGCTTTGCTTTTGTAAATCTTTTTAGGTTCCTTATAGATGCTGGATATTAGACCTTCTCAGATGCATAGATTGTAAAAATGTTCTATTCTGTAGGTTGTCTGTTTACTCTGTTGATAGTTTATTTTGCTGTGTAGAGCTCTTTATTTTAATTAGATCCCTTTTGTTAATGTATTCTTTTGTTGCAATTGCTTTTGGCGTTTTCATCATGAAATCTTTGCCTATGCCTATGTCCTGAATGGTATTGCCTAGATTTTCTTCTAGGTTTTCATAGTTTTGGGTTTTATGTTTAAGTCCTTAATCCATCTTGATTTTTGTATATGATGTGTAGAAGGGGTCCGGTTTCAGTTTTCTGCATATGGCTGGCTAGTTTTCCCAGCACAATTTGTTAAATAGGGAATTCATTCCCCATTGCTTGTTTTTGGCAGCTTTGTCAAATCGGTTGCAGGTGTGTGGTCTTATTTCTGAGTTCTCTATTCTGTTCCGTTGGTCTGTGTATCTGTTCCTGTACCAGTACCATGCCGTTTTGGTTACTGTTGCATAAAGTCAGGTACCATACTGTAGTATAAAATCAGGTAGCATGATACCTCCAGCTTTGTTATTTTTTAAGCTGTGTTATTACCAGAGATCCTAAAAGTTTTAAAATAAAAAGTTTAGGATGTAAAAAAGTTATAATAATCAGATTATTATTGAATAAAGTTACACACACACACACGCACAAGCACATATATGTAAATAGAGAGAGAGAGAGAGAGAGAGAGAGAGAGAGAGAGAGAGATGGAGCCTTGTTCTGTTACTCAGGCTAGAGTGCAGTAGCATGATTTTGACTCACTGCAACCTCCACCTCTAGGGTTCAAGTGTGTCTCCTGCCTTAGCCGCCCAAGTAGCTGGGACTACAGGTGCACACCACCACCCCCAGCTAATTTTTTGTATTTTTAGTACAGATAGGGTTTCACCATGTTGGCCAGGCGAGTCTTGAACTCCTAACCTCAAGTGATCTGCCTACCTCAGCTTCCCAAAGTGCTGAGATTACAGGTGTAATCTCACCATGCCCAGTCAAAAAAAAAAATCTTTTTAAATAAATTTCGTGTAGCCTAAGAGTACAGTGTTTATAAAGTCCACAGTAGTGTACAGTAATGGTCTAGGCCTTCACACTCATGCATCACTCACCTCCTGACCCACCCAGAGCAACTTCCTGTCCTACAAGCCCCATTCATTGTAAGTGCCCTATAGAGGGGTACTACTTTTCAATCTTTTGCACCATGTTTTTATTGTACCTTTTCTATGTATAGAAATGTTTAGATACACGAATTCTGTTACACTGCCTATTGTTCAGCATAGTAACTTGCTATACCAATTTGTAGCCTAGGCTATGTCATATAGCCTAAGTGTATATTAGGGTATAACATCAAGGTTTATGTACTACACGTTATCATGTTTGCACAATGATGAAATTTTAGGAACACATTCCTCAGAATGTATGTATATGACTGTATTTAGGAATATGTATTTTTGGCAATATGGCCCCAGATACAATCCAACTACATTTCCTGGTGCTCAACTTAATGAAACCACATTGTGTTCTAATGATGGAAGATACACCTTTTACCTGCATACTGATTTGAACTTACTGAGAAATGTTTGAGAATGATGATTGACTAGATGTGACTATATATATAAGTTTTTGTTTTTATTTGTTTGTTCACTTTATAATCTCTCTATAGAAAACCAGCATAATTACTAATCTGTAGCTTGTTGGAGGGCATTAACTGCAAATCACTTATGAGGTATGCAGGTAAACTAATTCAACTTAGTTTTTGTCAAACTTGTTGGGGCATTTATAGACAAGTGTGAATTAGTTACTGAAAATTTGGCTCCTATCCATTTATTTCAAAAATCATATATATTCAGATCTTCTGTGATTTCTTCTTTTGCAATATCCTTTGGAGCTTGCCCAAATTATTGAAATTCAATTAATTTTGGCATACGGCCATCCTTAGCAAGTAGACTTGGTTTCTAGCAATAGGCCAAATTCATTTCATGTAAGTGATAGTCATTTAAATTGGCAAAAGTATTTCAGACAAAATATGTTCTGCCTCTAAAAGACTGCCTCCCTCCTGTGGGCCATAATCTAGCTCTGAGAATGATGAATTCCAAAATATTTGTGAGAACTTCACTGGAATTAGTAAATAAATACGATGACCACTTTGGAAAAGACAACGCATATTTGGAGATGACCATTTGCATGCAATTCTTTAATCTTTACTCTCCAGGAGTCAAGTCTCATTTACTTTTACTTTTAGAAAACTTCTTAGCTTCTTAGGAAAGAGGAAGCATGAAATGGCTTTCCACCTCCACCAGTATTCTGCTTCTAAGCTTATGAAAACAGGTAAGACAACTATCTTCTCTCGTTTCATATTCCATTTTCTTTCTTTTTTTATTTTTTGAGATGGAGTTTTGCTCTTGTTACCCAGGCTGGAGTGCAATGGCCCAATCTCGGCTCACCGCAACCTCCGCCTCCTGGGTTCAGGCAATTCTCCTGCCTCAGCCTCCTGAGTAGCTGGGATTACAGGCACGCGCCACCATGCCCAGCCAATTTTTGTATTTTTAGTAGAGACGGGGTTTCACCATGTTGACCAGGATGGTCTCGATCTCTTGACCTCGTGATCCACCCGCCTCGGCCTCCCAAAGTGCTGGCATTACAGGCTTGAGCACCGCGCCCGGCCCCTCGTATTTCATTTTCTAACGAAACTCTTAGTTTAGGAAACTGCTTGATATGGTTTCTTTTTTTTTTTTTTTTTCTGCAACTCTCTGAAAGACATATCACAGTGTGTCCTCAAGGGTCTTTAGTACAGAGACTGTTCTTTGGTTATGCCTGGACTGTACAATGCCAGTACAATGCATATAAAATTAAAATAGATCATAGAGATTAGGGCAGGGATTTTTGTCGGGGAAAGTGGGGTGCTTAGCTCAGATGCAAAGTTTAAGGGGCCAAAACATTCAGAAATTAAGATCCATAGTATTTTAAAGCAATATATTAAGCAAATCAAAATTAATGCAAAATATCTATGAAGTACAAAATATCAAATTTTAGAAGAAGACGAGCTGTTGTCTTTTCGTTTGTTTTGCCAAACTGTGCTATTGTGCAAGGAAACAGTCCTTTACGATCAGACTGCAGAGACACTATCCTTCCTGGGTAAGTTTATAAGGGTGGAAAATGATGTGGGAACAAATTGGAAAATGTGAGATTTTTTGAATGGAGAGATTTTATTAATTTCTTCTAATTGGCTCTAAACATGAAAGGACATTCTGATAAGTGTATGTAGGGACATACGTTTTCCTTAGGTTCTAAAACTTTTCTCAGTTGCCTTTTGCTTTTTGCTATCAAACACTGGTAGAGAGTCACCTCTTTGGCCACTAAAGGTTAGCTGTGTGGTGTTGATTATTCTGCATTACATCACAGAACAGACAGAATTGCTGGTAGAAATCAACTTGAATTGTCTGTTAGACAAAAATGGTATCATTTTCTTAGACTGGTACATTCTTTCAGAATAATGCAAAGGTACATTAAGAGAAGAAGTAATGAGAAAGCATAAATATCAAGAGATAAATACTATACTATACCATTTTAATTAAAAATTCTGCTAGTTCTTGGATATTTAAATGAGTTTCCTTTTTATTTGGTGTATGACCTGATTCAAATTATTTACAATTCAGGTATTTGTATCTACTCTGTATCTTGTTTTGGCTGTTTTAATCTCAACTGGTTCTCCTTGTTATCTCTCATATACTGTATACATCAACATAATCACTGTGACTCACATTAACTGATAAATAGAAAATAAAATGGTTGCTTCCTGAAAACAGTTTGGTTAATATGTGTAATGATAAAATTTTGTATTACCTGAATACTCAAATTGTAACATTTGACTTTAGTTCTAAAATCTCTGAAGCATTTTAAAGAATAGAATTTGGGGCATAGATGAATATGTAAATGCACTCTAGATAAAATGCAGATGTGATATATATAAGAATATATGCTGTTTTATTAATATATTTACTGAGAGACATTATCAGATAGTTGTTGAAGTATAGGCTTTAAAATTATACTGAGATGTGAATACGTTCTGGCTTAAATTGTTAGCTGTGTAACTGCAAATAACTAAACTTCCAGGGCTCAGTTTTATCGCTTGTAAGATGGAGAGACTATATAATCCAGTTGGTAAGCTGCTTGGAAGACTTACATAAAACCCTACATAAAAGGTTTTTGACATCATATCATGCAAATTGTAGACGTTTTCTAAATATCATCTATACACCATTACTTCTCTGATATTTTTCTGCTTCATTCTTTAATGTCATATTATTGTTCATAGTTCTGCATTTTTAATACTCTTTTTACAAATAGCTTTCACTATTTCTTATGGTAATGGAATTCATAAGTGTACCTTCCTTTTGATTTCTGAGAGGTCCTGAAATTCTCTATAGTTTTTTTTTTTTTCTTATTTCTATACATATTGTCCTATTGGATTTCAAAACTATTGGAGTAAGTTGCAGGTTTTCCTTTGACACATTAAATATAGTATGTATTAAAGGAAAAAGCAGTCCTTCATTGTGTCTTTTAAATGTAATTTGAATAAGCTTGCCTCAAAAATACAAGGTATATCTGCATCCAAAACATCAGTTTTGGAAGGGTAACAAATATAGTATTAACTGCTAGAAATAATTTTCAAAAATTATATCTTACTCAGAAGATTAAAAATAAAAAAATTAGAAAAGTAAAAATACACATGGGTAAGATTTTTCTGATAATGCTATTTTGACAGCTATCAATAAAGGCCGAGAAGGGAAGTTGTCAGACTACTTATTATACAGGAAAGGATAATAAACTTTAGTATTGTGACTATAGAAGAGTTCATCCTTTGTTCTTTTATAAATCACTACAAAAAAAAAATGGTGCC